TTCCTTTAGGATGGACTAGTTGGATCTCCTTCCTGTCCAAAGGACTCTCAAGAATCTTCTCCAACACCACAGTTCAAAAGCATCAATTCTTCAGTTCTCAACTTTTTTTATAGTCCAACTCTCACATCCATACATGACTCCTGGAAAAACCATAGCTTTGACTAGAAGGACCTTCATTGGCAAAATAATGTCTCTGCTTTTGAATATGCTGCCTAGGTTGGTCATAACTTTCCTTCCAAGGAGTAAGTGTCTTTTTATTTCACGGCTGCAGTCACCAACTGCAGTGATTTTGGAGTCCAAAAAAACAAAGTCTACCACTGTTTCCACTGTTTCCCCATCTATTTCTCATGAAGTGATGGAGCCAGATTCCATGATCTTAGTTTTCTGAATGTTAAGTTTTAAACCAACTTTTTCACTCTCCTCTTTCACTTTCATCAAGAGGCTCTTTAGTTCTTCTTCACTTTCTGCAGTGTGATGTCATCTGCGTATCTGAGGTTATTGATATATCTCCTTGCAGTCTTGATTCCAGCTTGTGCTTCATCCATCCCAGCATTTCTCGTGATGTACTCTCCATTTAAGTTGAATAAACAGGGAGACAATATACAGCCTTGACGTACTCCTTTTCCTATTTGGAACCAGTCTGTTCCATGTTAGCTTCTAACTGTTGCTTCTTGACCTGCATACAGATTTCTCAAGAGGCAGGTCAGGTGGTCTGGTATTCCCATCTCTTGAAGAATTTTCCACAGTTTTTTGCAGTCAGCAATAATATGGCACTTATAATCTCCATTTTTCTATTTTATAATGTATCAATAATATATAATGTAATGCTGTTATATTGTATGCTATCAGTATTATATGGGCTTCCTTGGTGGCTCAGACAGTAAAGAATCTGCCTGTAATATGGGAGACCTGGATTTGATCCCTGGGTTGGGAAGATCCCCTGGACGAAGGCATGCAACTTGCTCCAGTATTCTTGCCTGGAGAATCCCCATGGATAAAGGAGCCTGGCAGGCTACAGTCCATGGGGTCACGAAGAGTTAGACACAACTGAGCGACTAAGCACAGCATATTAATATTATATAGCAGTAGTATAATACAGTCATATAACAGTGTAGTATTAAACAACATTTCTCTGATTTCCCAAACAGAACCACCATTGCCACCCACGAGTGATGACATAGAACTATTTCTGCCTTACAACAGCAACTTGAAATCATGACTGCTGACCTTCTTTTCTAAAAGCCATAAAACCATTCTAAAACTCCCACTAGATTTACTTACTCTTTCTCTGACAGTTGTTTATTGAGACCCTGCTTTGTGTCAGCCACTGCACTACACCCTGAGGGGGTATATTTTAAACTAGCCCTCTGGCTTTGTAAAGTTTTTGGACAAATCTGTTTTCAGTCAGGGTCTCCATAGGAAATAGATTGCACTCCCACAGGGAATGAAAGAAAATTTAATGAAGGTCACATTTACAACAGTGTATGCCTTAGCAGCAGCAGCAGCAGTAAATGGCAACCCACTCCAGTATTCTTGCTTGGGAATCCCAAGGACAGAGGAGCCTGGTGGGCTATGGTCCATAGGGTTCCCAAGAGTCAGACACAACTGAAGCAACTTTGCACGTACGCATTGTTTACAAAAGGTGTGGACAGGGTTGAGGATAACCCAAAGGTATGACTAAGCACTATAAGAATAGCAACAGTGGAAAGCTGCCATCAGCTTTATGTTTGAAAGGTGGAGTGGGAGCAGTAGTTAATGGAAGTTAGGGAAACCTGTCTCCTTAGAGATGGGTGATTGATTATAGGAGCTGTAATCTAGAGAAAGGGCTTTCATTATTGTTGCACCCTGGCCAGTAGAGAGGACCCTTTCTTTCCTCCTGCCTTCCCGCCGTACTTCTCAGGAGCCAGACAGCTAGAGAGCCCATGGACTCAATCTGTGAGGACCAGCCTCCTGTGGCACAACCAAGATCTCGAGGAGACAAATGTAAACTACTTAGAAAGTAATCTCTTCTTCCCTCCTTTATCTTGTTTTTTGTAACAGGTGCTGAGTTTTGTTTCTGAATGTAAAAGTAACATATTTTATATGTAGAACATTTGGAAAACTGCCTTGTAACTTTTGTAACTTGATTTTGCTTTTTCCTAGCCAGGACATGCTCCCAATTGAAGGCACATGAATCTGTCCAGTCAGCTTTCATACTCAGAGTGTTATAAAACAGAAGTTTGTTTTCATGGCTAAGACCTCACAATATACTCTTGCATGCCCCAAATCTACTGATGTTACTCTGGAACATGTTGTCTTTCTGCCTGTCATAAACTTCCTTAGCATGGCATCTTCTTGCATAGTCACAGTCTTAGTACATTAGATTCCTTCCCATATTTTTGCACACCATATTTTTTCCCACTATCTCTGCTGAACAAATTCTACTCATTATTTAAGGCTAAAAGAAAACCTCATTTATTTCCCAGAAACCCAAATATTTTAATAGTTAATTATATTCTTTGATTCACCCATTTTACAAATATTTTTGAGAACCTATTAAGTGCATATTTAATATATGTAAGTCTTTCCTGCCAGACTAGACCTAAAATTCTTGAGAGCCATATTTGCCTTGAGCTTCAAGGATTGGATCCTATCATAGCTTTGCTCACTTGTAAGAAAATATTGCTAAGGTCTTTAACCTTCATTTCTGCTGGGGAAGCTTGAGCACAGTTCCTTCCTGCTGAAGACAGGCTCAGAATTTCTATTCCAGTTGTGCTGTTTTATCCTATTTTTAAGGGCATTTCCTGCCAAGCAAAATGGATCACTTTTTTGGCTTGGAAAAGAATATCACAAAAATTTGGAAAATATGGAAAAGAAAGAAAAATTTCTATGCCTCTTATATAATGTTCACTGTTACAGTGTTACACAACTTCTTTAATATTTTTCTATGCTTATATTTTTGAGAATTATAATCATTGAGTATGTCTAATTTTATATCCTATATATAAAACTTACATCTTGAATCTTGCTTTTTCCTTTAACATAGGGGTATAAACATTTTTTTTTTCAGGTTCTGCCTCAGAGAGGCACTCAAGATTGAATATAACAGAGATAAAATATATCTGTTATTTGTTGACCTTTGCTAGGTTTCAAGCAGCTTTTGAAAAGGGCTCTAAATGTCTGCTTAGTCCTCTTTGGTCAGTGTTAGAAAAGCTCAATAATTGTAATCATTCCTTGGTGTATGATGAGGAAATTCTTTTCCTTGTCATATTGAATTGAACACCTGAAAAGCCTGTGGCATTCTCTCCCTAGAAGACTTACAAAAGTGAAGTTTCTCCCTCCCCCACTCTCTTATCTACTGTCAGTTTTGCTGCCAACTTCTGCATAATATAGTCAAATTATGTGTTAGAAATTCAACCCTGGTTTCCTGGGTGATGGTACAATGCCACTACTTAGTATTCCTAGTCACATAGCCACAATTCCATCACTCTGTTAATCTATATATATCTTCATGTTGGAGAAGCAGACTTTCCAAATCCAGCACATATTAAAGGTTTTAAATGTACAAAGTAAGAAAACATAGGAGCTTCTGGATCTCAGCATTGATGAAGCCATTTTTTTATTACTAAAAATTATATTTATTTTTTAAACTTTTTTCTTACAGAAAATCTTAAACACACAAAAGTGGGAGGTTTTTGATATTAAGATTTGAGAATCCACTCTCTGGACCAATATTTTTGGATTCAGTGATTTCTGCAGTGTATCTTTTCCAGTTCAGTTCTGCAAAGTCAAAACTCTTCATATTCTTTTTTAGACTATTGTATGTCTGAAATGTAAATTTTGGCCTGTTTTAATAGCCTGAGTTTTCATATTCATAAACCAGTGATTCTTTTTCCTCTGGAGTTTGCACAAGTAGGGTGCACCCTTAAATTTTGGAAATGTTATTGAGGTTCTTTGTTTCTGAAGTGAATTCTAGTGATCTACACAAAACAAATGTTATGAAGTGTCTGTTTCAGAATGGCCAAGTTTGTGTGATTTAAACCAGGAAATTCTAGCTCTTTCTACTTCTTGGTTGCTAAATTCTCTGTGATGAATACTTGTATATGTATATGTAAGAAGTTTAAACTAATGGTAAAATTGAAATTAAGATTTTTTGGGTCATGCATATTTTTTGTATTGGTTTAGTTTTCCTTTTTATTGGCAGTAGTATCAGTGGATCATGGAGAAGGAAATGGCAACCCACTCCAGTATTCCTGTCTGGAGAATCCCAGGGAATGAGAAGCCTGGTGGGCCACAGTCCATAGGGTCACAAAGAGTCAGACATGACTGAAGTGACAGCATGAATGCATGCATCAATGGATCATATACCTTAAATTCTAAATCTGCTATGTTTTAATTGTGTTGGTGGTTTAGTCACCAAGTCATAACACTTATAATCCGATGGACGGTAGCCCGCCAGGCTCCTCTGTCCGTGGGATTTTCCAGGTAAGAATACTGGAGTGGGTTGCCATTTCTTTTCTAGTTTTAGATGTGTTAGTTTGGCCAAATCATTTTTCTGATCCTCTATTCTCTCATTATTAAAAAAAGATGAAAACAATTTCACAGATGGTTATGGGGATCAAATGAAATATTGCTTGGGAAGATAACTTTGTAAGTATAAAGCCTTTCACTAATACCTAGTATTTCTATAGTCTTAAAGATCATTGATAATTTGGGAGCCTATTACCCTCTATTCTTTTTCTCTCCCCTTAGATAGCTTTGTCTTGGATTTTTGCATTTTGTGAACCTCTTTTCTCACAGCTTAGCTTTAGTTAGCTTGGTAAATTGTGATATATTTACTTATCCACATGCATTGTATACCTTCAGATCTTAGTGCGGAGAATACCATGTATTTGTATTTAACTAAGGATACCGAGCTGTTCTTTTTTTGTGTGTCTCTTTTCCCTGTAGGCCTTAAAAATTGACAGCAAAGCTGCCCTGAATAGCAGACATCCTGAGAGGGGCTGTTTTTCACCTCTATAATGAAGAAAAGCAGGAGTGTGATGACAGTCACGGCCGATGATGTAAGTTCCAAAAGTCACAGAATTGCCGATTCTATCCACTCTTTGTCTGCCTAATAAAGAAGGCACTCCATAATTCTGTTCCAAGGGCAGGTAAGGTTGTTTAGAAGTACCACTCTGTAGCTAGGTATCTCTGTGATGCTGGATATTGCCAGCCCTTGGACCCAGAACTCTGCGAGGTAGACAGCAGGCATACCACCCTCGTTGCAGCTTGGAAATGGGCTCAATTTGAGCTTTGTGGTTTTTATTTACAAAATACCAGTCTGGAAAATTTTCTTTTCACCTTGCTTTTCACCATTTCTTGATGACTTTCTTGTACATTTTTATCCGTGTATAGCTAATGCTTGAGTCACCTCTTGAGGTGTGGGGTCTTTGACAGCTGTTTGTATTAAGAAATTTGTGAGGTACACATCTTCTAGGACTTAGCTGCTCAGTGTGGGCCTCAGACCAGCAGTGCTAGCATCACCTGTGGATTTATTAGAAATACAGAATCTCAGAGCCATACCTTAGACCTATAGATCAAACTTTGTATTAAAAATTTCCCAGGGAGACCAGTTATGTACTTTAAGCCCTGCTCTGGGTCCTTTGAAGAAGTCTATAGACATTATTTTCAATAGCTATCATTGCAATGATTATCCTAATCCTCTCTGAGGTAATGGTTGACACAATCAAAAGACAGGGAAGTTTTCTCAGAAGAATGTGCAGGAAAGAAATGCATATTTGAAGAATACAAACCCCACCTGGAGTGGATTGTTTTTACCTAGATTTGCGCTGTCCAACATGGTAGCCACTAGCAACATGTGACTCTTAAATACTAGTGTGAATGGAGAGGTGCTGTAAATGTGAAATACATTTTGGATCTTGAATTCATAACAGTAAAGATAGAAAAGAGTACAAAATATGTCATTAGTAATTTTTGATATAGATTAAATGTTGAAATGTCAGTATTTTGGACAATCTAGGCTAAGTAATATATACTATTAAAGGTAATTTCATATTTCTTTTTTTTAATGGGATTACTAGAATATTTAAAATTATACATTTAGCTCCCATCTGTGGCTTGTTCAAACCTTAAGTCAACTTGGCAGATACTATGTTTTATATGCCACACTCTGAAGAAAGATTCACCCTTAAGTCAAGGATGTTTTATTATATTATTAGTTATTTCAGCTCAGCAAACAGTTACTCATGATTTAAATGTTCACTTGATATTATTTAGTGCCTCTTTTGCACCAAACACTGGTTAGTTCTAGGGATTAGAGTTCTTGTCCCTTTGAAGTTTATATTACAGAGAAGAGGGCATACATAAATCAATAAATTATAAAATAATTCCAGCTATAATAAGAGCTGTACAGAAAAATGAAGTTGGTCAGGAGGGCAAAGAATAACTGGATGATGACTATAAGGGTTTATAGAAGGATGACATGAAGAGATGACATATGGACAGTGAAGACATATGAGCATCAAAGGAGTGAACTCTGAGAAGATCTGGGGGAGGAGCATTTCTGGCAAAGGGAACAGTGTGATTTCCAGAAGTAACATTCAAATTAATGATTTTTTCCCCTGCAAATCTTTGATCTGATAAATGATATAGTCAACCAATATCATGCTGGTTAAAATAGGTAAAGAGATCCAAGATCACAAATTCAGTAGTTTAGGATTGACAGAATTAGATTTTGCCTTTGAGGGTGTTAGCAAATTGGGGACAGGAATTATGAGTATGGATTAAGAGCTTGTGGTAATTATATTGATAACGCAACACGGGTTAATGAAGTGTTTGTAAAACAATGTTAATGTTTCCAATATTTAACTTAATTTCTAAAAGGCTATTCCATTATGTTCTTTTGTGGCAATGCACTTTCACATTATTTGGAGTCTTTAGAAAAAATTCTTAAAACTCAAAGAATGACTCCAAATCTCTATTTCAAGTATGTTCACAAGTCAGTATGGGAGATATTTTGTGGTAGGTGGTGACTTTGTTACCTTTCAAATAACAAGTATCATATAAGTACCCATTGAGTTTATTCACTGCACTTATACCTGGTTGGTAATATTTACTTTCCTAAAAGAGGAAAAAATATCCAATAACTTTATTATAAGACCATTGTGATTTGTGGTTTAACTAAGTGACATTCTCATTTTTGTTCTTTTGTACAGTATTTCTTGTATAGGTGGTAAAATATTTTCTGAAGATTTTGCTTTCCAGATGATTGGTACTTTCTTTATTTGTATATTTGGAACAAACTGATTTATAAAAGTTCTGACTTTTAGTTTGTTCTTGAATCTCTTTAGGAAAACTTTGTCTCTTCTAAGACTTCCTGTCTCCTCTAGTCTTTTGAGAAAGAAACTTACATATGCTATGTTTTCTTCTCAGCTCTTATTTCTAACACACACAAACACATACACACACAAGTGAGTAAGTGCCAGGCCATGGTAGATTTAATATAATCAGTTACTAAACCAGTTTGTTTGTTTAAACCTAAGGTGATCCAGTCCCAGTTACTAAACAGTTAAATCCTGGGCACATTCCAGAATATTTCAAACTCTGAAAAATTCTAGATTGTTTGGTCTTCTTCCTCTTACTGTGGTTCTACTGAATCTTAAATAAGTGGTATTTGAAAACCTTAAGTCAAACAGAAAAAAATATGATGATATCCCATTTCCAGGTAGAGAGAGTGGGGCCCCTGAAAATTGTCAGGCCTATGAATGCCCAGATTTTCATCATGAAAATGTGGCTTTGTATAGATGAGATAAGCATAAATAACTAGAATATAAGTCCTGCTGCTCTTTACCCTCTCAAAGTAGGACTGTGCAAGATTCTAATAGGTGTGCTACAAATATTTGTTGAATGATCCCAGCTAGGCCCTTAAACTTGAGTTGATTATTCTTATACGAGCTAGTATAGGGATGGGTAGAGGAGTGGTAGGTGGAGAACTTTTTCTTGCTTGTTTGTTTCAAAGGCAGCCTAGTTCCAGGCTCTCCTAAGTCTATTTTGAAGGGCAGTAGGAAGTACCTGTCTTTTTAAGGGCTACTGAATGACTTGCAGCTGAGAGATCTTGGTCTGGTGTTAGGACTTCAGTTCTTGCTTAAGATACGAGTGGAAAGTGACAGATAGGACTTTTCAACTCCAAGTGGCTATCAGTGGCTATTTGCACTGCTGCAACATTTGCTGTCTTTAAGCCAGTATGAACCAGGCAGAAACTGTTTTGGGTCTTCTACTCTCCATGGTACCAGGAACCAGAGTCACCAAGAGATATAGGAAGAATGAAAAAACTCTTATTGTTGATTACAATTCAGTGCTCTTATCTTCTCACAAATATTTCATTTCATGTCAGTCTTAGGGCACATATTGGACATATGGCAGTTCAATTCAGGACCAGATAAATGTATATTCTTCTTTTCTTGAACTCTTATATATTTAATGCCCCTCCCCCCACTGACCCTAAACCCCTACAACTCTGAGGAGAACTTTTATGAGAAAAGGAAAAGTCAGTTACCCATCACCCACAATTATGAGTATCTTCCTGGTCTGAGATAGAAAATATTTTTCCTTCAAAGCATTGAGCAAGAAATGTTATACTTTAGCTAGTATAGCTTATTCCCATGTTGCAGAATGATAACATCAATATCCAAAATATATTTTCAGTGAATAGCTTTCATTTTAGCAAGTTAAAAAAGAGAAAGAAAAAAAAAAGAATAATTTAAAAAAGAGAAGATATTCACAGTCCTACAGATCACCAAGACTATGCAACTGATATGTTTAAAATTTGAGCATTAACCCCCATATGTTTTCTCTTAAGCTTTTGATATCAGTGTTAGATTCTGATTGTGAGATACTGAGAAAGGACTTCATGAATGACGGCTTAATCATTTAGTTTCTTATTTTACTACATTGTGCATCATTTTAAGCAATTGACTTTCATTTTCTTTTTCCTCTTTTTTTCTTCCCCTGTGGTTCCTCTAGAATGTTAAAGATTATTTTGAATGTAGCTTGAGTAAATCCTACAGTTCTTCTAGTAACACACTTGGGATCGACCTCTGGAGGGGGAGAAGGTGCTGCTCAGGAAACTTGCAGTTGCCACCACTGTCTCAAAGACAGAGCGGAAGGGCAAGGACACCTGAGGGAGATGGCATTTCCAGACCAACCACGCTTCCTCTGATGACACTGCCAAGCATTGCTATTACAACTGTAACCCAGGAGTGGTGAGTAGCTCCCGTGTAAATGTCAGCTGAAAGTTTTATTTTCCAGTTACTCCAGATACAATTTTCTTGTTACTAAAATGTTAGTTATCTGTGGAATAACTAAGGCTTTTGACATTTTGAGAATTTGTTTCCCTTTGGGTAGCAAAATGAGACCTTTTAAACAGTGGAGATACTGTCTACTTCTTAAGATTGGGAGGAACCTGTTGAAGAAGGAATGAGATGCATTTTTATTAATGGCAGGGAAAGCAAAATTACTGCCTATGATCTTTTTTTTTTTTAAACTTCAGTGAATGTTGACATGTTTAATTTAGAAAAGAAAAATCATATAGAAGTACCTAAAGGAAATACACATATATGAAATATATAAATCATCTATATTATATATATGAATGGGAAGAGATATTCTTGTTGCTATACTCAAAATATTAATTATTCTGAGTTTATTTTTACTATAATCCCACTTTAATAATTTCAGCTTATGATTAGATAGTAAATAAAACACTTTTGTAAATCAAAAGAGGAATGAAAATTGTACTATGGGAGATGCTTGGACTTTTTGCAAAATCTATGTTTGTGAAAGAGACTATTTTAATCTAGTGTTGAAACATTAATCAAGTACATATAATTTATGACTGTGGTTAAAATTGTGCTGTGATGTTTCTTCAAATATGTGTTTTTATCACATATTTAATATTTAGCAGTTTCTCTGGTTTTTCTTTTTCCTTTACATAATCCAAATATTTTTCCAAGAATAGCCTGCTTATATAACATGGAGTCCTGTTCAAATGAAAAATACTTTCTCTATATTTTATATAATTTTAAATTATAATAATATGGTGCTTTTAAAATGACTTTTAAAGGCATTTTTTAAGGAAAAGAGCTAAGCATTAAATTACTGTGCAATATCATTGCAGTAAATCCTTCAAATCTGTGAGCTTTATTGTGTGCTCCATTCCATGACCACATACTGAGCTGAGCACTGCTGATGAGTGGTCCAGTATGTGCTCACTGAGTGATGCAGGAAAGCTTTTAGTTGGTGGTTATCAAATACACTAAGAATTAGATCCCTGAGACTTCAGGTATCACAGTTACTAGCACGAAATGGTTCACCAAACAGTCTGTATATGATAGAGAAGCATGTAAAACATTATAAGGGGAATGGGTTAAAATTTTGGAAAGCATTAACTGGCTTCTTCTCCTTAGCTGAATTAACATTACAATAGTCATAAACAATCATTGAGAACTCAAATGGGCATGTGGCTCCCACACCGCTTACTCAGTCACATAGCCTATGTGATCAGTCTTGGTTTGCTTCTACATTACGACAGATTTGGAATCTAAAATAGAAATCTACACGGATTTATATTTCAGCAAGTTGGCACCAGTGCAGTAGTACCAGTTGTTACAATATTGAAAGACTTCTGATGTTGGTAAATATATGCTTTCCTGACCTCTGTGATTGTCCTTATTACTATCCCAGACTCTTGCCCAGAAGGAAATTCTTCACAAACCAACAGTAAAGAGGTGATCAGTTGATGACTAGTATAGCAGGAGCCCAGTTTCGTTGGGCATTGGTGCTTTATCTGTTAGAATAACAGTCCGGATAAAATGTACCTTGCAGTGTTGGAGTTCATTTTACCCAAAGACCCTTTGGGAGTTATGGAATTGTTCTTTCCTTAGAAATATTGAATCCAGGCTCTGACATGTTGGGCATGCTTCTTTACCTCTCTAAGTTGAATGTGTTCATCTGTACAAAGAGAGTAATTGTACTCAGTCTCATGGGCTATTGTAAGGATTAGGTATGGTGATCTCTATAAAATGTCTAGTTTAGTAAAAAGCACATGTTAGGCAATCAACAAACATTAGTTTCTCTTTTCTTGATCATTATGCATTAAAGCCTTTTGAAAATGAGAAACCATGTTTCCAGTATCAGTAGCCTCAAACTGAGTATCAGTAGTTTAGAATGAAATGGAGGATTTACCCATTATCCAGCTTGTCATGCAGTCAGCCAGCACCACATATGAGTAATTAACTTATGTCTTTTTTTCCCCCAGTCACCTGGATACTTTTTAAAGTATGAGAGTATTCAGTCACTGACTCCAAATTTATTTTTAAGTATAAGCAACTAAAAGCATTTCAATTCACCCCTTAGAAATATTTCTTTTGTAATATTGATAGTTAAGAGACTGGAGGAATTGCTGGCAGAGGAATTTCATTGAAAGACCATTTGATTAGAAGTGAGAAAGTAGGGTTCAGATATCATCAGGGCCATCACTTGATGAAAGGTCCTAGAGATAAGGAATGCAGCCTACAACCCTGTGTGGGAAAGAATTATGCTCACCACTTAGAGTGCAGAGAATGTGGAATCAATCTACATGCCTAGATGATGGGTCAGTAAACTTTTTCTGCCAGTTAGTAAATATTTTGGGCTTTGTGGGCTTTATAGCCTCTGTTGTGACTATTCAGCATCGCCAGTGTGGTATGAATGTTGCCATAGACAGTGCATAAATGAATGCAGCTGGGCTCCAGTAAAACTTTATTAATGTAAACAGGCAGGAGGCTAGATTTTGCCTGCCAGTCAGTTTGATGACTTCTGTTCTAGACTAGCAAAAACCCCCAAGATATGATGCCCTCTCTGATAATTGCTTTGACAGTGGTAACTGGGTGAAACTGACCGAGTTCCTGGTTGGTGTTCTAAATGTGTCAAAGATCTGGGAATATGTGGTATAGATCAAGTCTTTGAAGCTAGTGAAGGAATTTGAATGAGAACAAATAAAAATTACTACCCAGTGTATCTAAAGTTAAATATTGGGTTGGACAAAAAGTTCGTTTGGGTTTTTTCTATAAGATGTTATGGAAAAACTTGTACAAACTTTTTGGCCAACCCAATAGAAAAGATTGCTATAAATTTAGCTCTTGTTTGGGGAGAGTACATTGGATGAAGGGAGTTGGCCATCATCACAAGCAAAAGGCCTGGAATAGAAGGAGAGTGATTTGATTTACTGTGGAGAAAGGGAGAGTGAGGACCTGAGTCCAGTTGGGTGAACATCCATCTTGCTACCTTTTGGGTGAACTTCATCATTCCACAACAACTAAAATGAATAAACAGAGATAAACAGAGCTGATACAATTTTCAGAGTTGTGGTGAGAGAGAAAATATTTGCAATGTATGTAGTGTAGTAATTAGCACTTTAGTGGTTATTTTGATATTATTGTTATTTTATTGTTAAATATTGACTAAACAGCCAACATTATGCACTTTTTATTGCTGGGGATTCTGGGGGAATTTCACCACCTGCATTATTAGAGCCATCTTGGAAATATGAAAGAAGAGTTCATATATGAAAGCAAGATGTTATTTTTATTACAATTTTTATTAAAATTGATATTGGAGTGTGTACTCCATGTCTGTGGGCAAGTAGATGTCTAACACTGTGCACCATAATTATACAGACTTACCATGCAGTAATAGGAAGTGCTAGTGCTGGGCAGGCAGAGAAAGAATCTACCTCTATAAAACTTGAACATGGAAGAGTTGTAGAATCCTGCCCAGGTGAGACAGTAGAAAGGAAGGACTGATTTGTGCATGTCTACTTTCTCCTCTGGAAAGACCAGTGCAGATTAAATTACCTTCTCCCCATGAAAGACTGAGTAAAAAGGCAGAAGGTGGTTAGGAATGTTAAGATAGTGGCATTTGACACTTGGAAGACACATCCAAAAGTGGAAAAAATACGCTCTTCCTGACATTCCGCAAACTTTTCCCTTCTTTTCACCTTTAGTCTGGCGTTACACTAGGGACATGGCCAATGCCACATCTCTGGTGGTCTTTATTTTCTTAATCGTTCAAGGAGTTTACTAACCTACCAAATTTATCAGTGTCACCACAACCAAATTAGGAAAATGAGTCAATACTCAGCATTGACTGTCTACGGTTAAATCTATAATTTTAACTTTCCCCATAAGGTTCTTAGAACTCTTTGACTCCTTCTAGCCCTTCCTTATTTGCAATTGTTAATTATCTGTTTTTTAATCCGAAAATACACTAGCTCTCTGTTTGGGATCATTTACCTTTTTGCTTGAAGTAAATCCTTTAGAATTTACTCTCATTTTTCTGTTTGTTTCTCTGAAAATGTCCTTATTTTGTCTCATGCTTGAAAGTGTTTTCTTTTTCGTTATGTAGCAGTCTGTTTAATTCAACACTTTCCCCTTCCCTTTTGGCTTCCATTACTGTTATTGGGAAAATGGCTCTAATTGTTTTACTGTGTAAATAAACTGCATTTGGGGTAGGGGGCCCTTGATTTCTGAATTCCATCTTTGATGAGTCTATGGGTGGATTTCCTTTTATTTATCCTACATGAGATTTACTGGACTTCTTGAATATGTTGTTTGGTGTCTTTTATCATTGGATCTGGAATATTCTTTGTCATTATCTCTTCAAATATTTTCTCTGTCAGCCTTTTGCTCCTCTGCTATTGGACTTTGCATTTTGGATCTATTGGTATGTATTTTGGATCTACTTCTTTACCTTCCATTTCTTTTAATGTCTTTCACACATATGTGGCTAAACAGTATTTGTCTTTCTGGGTTGTATTCTTGTAATTGCTTTTGGTCTGCTTCTGGTTTGCTAATTCTCTTTTCAACTATGTTTAATTTGCTGTTAAACCTATTATATTGCATATGTCAATTTTGATTATTATATTTTTTATTTTTAAAATTTGTATTTATTTAGCTTTTGAGTGTGAGGTAATTTTGCGTAGTTTTCTTTTCCCTACGTGTATTAGTTAACTATTGTTGCATAACTAATAACCCTCAAATGTAGTGGCTTAAAATAACAAGCATGCTTTATCTTCTATTTTCTGTGGGCCAGGAATCTATTTGTAATCTAGCTGGGTCCCTCTGGCTAGGTCTGTCACAAGGCCAGAGTCAAGTTACTAGCCAGTGCTACAGTCATTTCAGTGGTTGACTGGGTGGGAGGGACAGCTTCCAAGCTCACTCCCATGGTTT